AACAAGGATTGGCCTGCTCTTGACTGCCTATGTATAACAAGGATTGGCCTGTTCTTGACTACTAATGTATAACAAGGATTGGCCTGCTCTTGACTGCCTATGTATAACAAGGATTGGCCTGTTCTTGACTGCCTATGTATAACAAGGATTGGCATGTTCTTGACTGCCTATGTATAACAAGGATTGGCCTGTTCTTGACTACTAATGTATAACAAGGATTGGCCTGCTCTTGACTGCCTATGTGTAACAAGGTTTGGCCTGTTCTTGACTGCCTATGTATAACAAGGATTGGCCTGTTCTTGACTACTAATGTATAACAAGGATTGGCCTGCTCTTGACTGCCTATGTATAACAAGGATTGGCCTGTTCTTGACTACTAATGTATAACAAGGATTGGCCTGTTCTTGACTACTAATGTATAACAAGGATTGGCCTGTTCTTGACTGCCTATGTGTAACAAGGATTGGCATGTTCTTGACTGCCAATGTGTAACAAGGTTTGGCCTGTTCTTGGCTGCCAATGTATAACAAGGATTGGCCTGTTCTTGACTACTAATGTATAACAAGGATTGGCCTGTTCTTGACTGCCTATGTGTAACAAGGATTGGCATGTTCTTGACTGCCAATGTGTAACAAGGTTTGGCCTGTTCTTGGCTGCCAATGTATAACAAGGATTGGCCTGTTCTTGACTACTAATGTATAACAAGGATTGGCCTGTTCTTGACTGCCTATGTGTAACAAGGATTGGCATGTTCTTGACTGCCAATGTGTAACAAGGTTTGGCCTGTTCTTGACTGCCCATGTATAACAAGGATTGGCCTGTTCTTGACTGCCCATGTGTAACAAGGTTTGGTCTGTTCTTGACTGCCAATGTATAACAGGGTTTGGCCTGTTCTTGACTGCCAATGTGTAACAATGATTGGCCTGTTCTTGACTGCCCATGTATAACAAGGATCGGCCTGTTCTTGACTGACCATGTATAACAAGGTTTGGCCTGTTCTTGACTGCCAATGTGTATCAAGGTTGGTCTGCTCTTCGCTGCCTATGTGTAACAAGGATTGGCCTGTTCTTGACTGCCAATGTATAACAAGGATTGGCCTGTTCTTGACTGCCAATGTGTAACAAGTTTTGGCCTGTTCTTGACTGCCAATGTGTATCAAGGTTGGTCTGCTCTTCGCTGCCTATGTGTAACAAGGATTGGCCTGTTCTTGACTGCCCATGTGTAACAAGGTGTCGTTGTCCCTAGGGAGACATAAACGGGCGATCCAGGGTAGATGATATATGGCGACCGGGTCTGTGTCTACCTGTCACCAGGTGAGTCGACACCTCATTTTTATTTCATCTCAAACTGGTGTTGTTTTCCCAGACCAGACTACTGACAGTCGTGTAGACACTATTGGGAAATGCCGCCCGACTGAATAAAAACTTGTGATGCTGCACCTAGGGAGACGATGTGGTATGAGAATCATTTCAACTTCAATAATTGATGCCTAAGCATACAAATTCAATTGCAAATTAGAAAAAACTCAAACTATAACCGCTTTCTATTCAGCCGAGATGATAGGATACTTTCTTAAGATCTTGCTCACTTTGTTGTTAATTTGAGTGACAAGACATTAAAAGGCGCTTCTCGGGTGTCTTCTGGAGCTCAAGAACTATCATTGATTTTTAAAAGGTGCAGTTAGGACCGTAGCATAATACATTTAGGTGTTCTATTTTGTTTGTGGAGCAACGTGAGAAAATAAAAATATACTAACACAGTTAAAATGATAGTGGCGGTGTAATGATAAATGTCTGTAAAATTAAAATGGGGAGTGTAGATCAATATCTGGTGGGTCCACTATGTTGGGCGATACACGCATGGCACCTTGATGGTTTTCTGTTGATTAACTTGCGTATGGTTGCCCTTGGTATTGCCCGCCATTCTGCCTGAAGAGCCATTCCAAGCTGGGCCACGTTGGCAGGTGTTGGGTCTCTAGTGTACACTCTCAGCCCGAGAACATCCCTCAGATGCTCTCTTGGGGACATGTCAGGGGGACTTAGCGGGCCAGTCCAGTGTCCGTATGCCTTCTCGTCGGAGATAATCGGTGGCGATCTGGGCACGATGTCTTGCGTTGTTATCTTGCAGTTCAAAATTCTGCTAATAATACTAGCGAGTGGAACAAACAGTTGGCAAAACTTTGCCAACATATCGCTGGTCAGTCAAATGTTCATTCACAATAACCAAGTCAGTTCGCCTGTCATGTGTGATATCGCACCAAACCATGACACTACCGCCCTGATACCGATCATTGTCTGGAACTGTCCTCACATACCTCTCGCCGCTACGTCGCCAAAAGCATTTTCTGACATCTGTGAATCGGAGGCAAAACCTTGAATCATATGGCGTAACGCCAGTGGAGCACATCCCTGTCCTCGGTGTTGCCTAGCCCACCCCAGTCTTTGTCGCCTATGGTAAGCTGTTAGGGCCACACCCTTCACAGGCCGGCTGCATAGAGGCGGTTTTGAAAGGTAGATGTTGAAATTCGCCTTCCTGTTATTGTACGGAATTCTCTATTGATAACAGGAGAGATATGAATCTATGTCGTAGTGCAATAAATGTAATGGGACCATCTTCTCTCAGTGTAGCATTTTAGGCCTGTCACGCTCAGGTCGCATTCCCACAGTCGAGATTGGCACGTTTTGGTTTGCCCAACATTAGGGCATCTTGGGTATTGGCGTCCTCTATCGTTCCTAAAATTCGCCATTTTGTCTGTTCAATCTCGGATGTACTGATAAAGCTTGTGTCGAGCCTGAGCTCAGTTGTCATCCATGACATGTATAAAAAATAATGTTGCACAAAGAAAACTGCGAGTTGTAAATAGACTTCCTAGACTTAATTTCAGGAATTGACTGAAGTGAACTGTTCTGTAACTGCCAACAGTAACATAAGAAAAAGTGTTGCAAGACTGACCCCTAAATTAGTTTACACTGCTCGCTAGGCCTGATTACATTCTCTAGATGGAACTGTATTGTATTGCTTAAGGCGCCTTACGAGCGCGTGGAACCGTTGCTGGGCTCGAATCCCAAACTCGGCCTCATTGTTTTTCTAGATTGGCCATACGCGTGGGGAACTGAGGGCATAACTCCAGGCTTACCACCCATGTCAGGCTGTATCTCGTACCCTCGTCACTCACTCGTATCCTCAGATTCATCCATTTATTGGTCCCTGTCTTACTGAACCCAGGAACGGTAAGGTAACCCACTGGTTCAACCAGTTGCTTGTCATGCCGAGGACATGGGTAAAATGTGACAAGCCCTTTTGTGGTATATCTCCGGTCTCCGTCCTGATATGACTAAAGCCTTGTAATATAAAGTTAGTGTGTATGTATAAAAAATATAAGAATAGCACGAATTATTCTCCTACATGTCTCAGTTTTATTTTAGGGACACATTTCCCTGAAGATAAAATTCAAACATGATCAAGAAAAATCGTGTCGTGAGATTTTTAAAAATTTCTTAATGTAGTACTGTACACTAGCGAATTCCCCCCCCCCCCCCCCCCCCCCCTCTCTCTCTCTCTCTCTCTCTCTCTCTCTCTCTCTCTCTTCAAACCGTTCCTTTCTCAGTAAACCATCGCAAAGAAGCTGAAAATTGCTTGAGTACAATGAAGTTCTTCGTGAAGAAAGTCAGTACATAATAGAGTGTATGTGTATTACCTTGAGATCGTCCCGCCATTGTGCCAGCGGACAGACCAGGAAGTGAGGGCTGTGTGTAGGGATGCTGGGATGGTTATACCTACTTATGGACCTTGAGGTGGCTCCAGATCATGCGGGAGGGAATGAATAGAAGTATTTACCTAACGCGGGATTACTGCCAGGCCACTGATCCGATGATCCGTGTATACAACCCTGTTCGTATTGCACGTTTCATCTGCCGTCCAACATTACACATAAAAGGAAAAATGCCAGATATCAAAACAAAATGTTAATGGTTTAAAATTATCCCATGAAATCTGAAATTACGATAATAATTCAAATAATAATAACATTTACACGCCCTAAACGTATCGAACTGATGAGATAAATCCAGTTTGGGAAAGGTTTTCAAAATACATTCACCTCGCCCTGAGGCTTCCGTCGCGTAGTGATACAAGGAAAACAGTGCCTTTCATGCTCGACTGTTCGCCAGCACTGATCATATCAAGCTGAAGAAGGAGGATTTAATTACAGTCAGCATGCTCTTGCAAAGTGACGGCAGAAACTAACACCAAAGAGATCTGGACGTTTATAGGCCAGCTCCGGAACTTTTTTTTCAATCTCAGTGTCTGTTAGGCAGTGATGTTAACTTCATTATAGTGGCTTACATTTTCCGATTTAATAATCTCTCCAGGAATTGAAGATCTTTTTGCTCTGTAATGTTTCGGTTCACTTAAAGGAAGTTTATTTTAGAATATTTGTTGAATAGAATGACGTCACGTCGGCATTTTGAAGATTAGTGTGTCGGATTCAAATGGTTCCCCTCGACGTTGTGAAAGATAATTCCTGCCATGGAGTTAGGTGGTGATCTTCGCTTAATGGAACTCTGTTATACAACATTTCTTTTAATGTTTAAATTGTTTCATACTGAAGCACCAGCATTATTTAGATAGTTTAAAAGGGTGCCTTATCAATGTGCCAGTGACGTCCCTAGTGAGGCAAGGCGGGTGTTACAGTCCTTTTTATCCCTGCCGGCGGAAGGAGAAATACGTCAATTGATTGTTAAGAGATAAGGCGTCGTGAACTAGGACTCGTAAACAGACAACGGAGGCCTTAGATAAGAGAGGTTAGGTAGGCTCCGCAAGTGTATTGTGTCGTTAAGACTGATGTCAGTAAAACAGGTTAACGAAAGTCAGCTGCCAATGTCATTAAAACTTCAAATGGGGCTAATACAAAAAATGTAAACATTTGAGTGCAGTGTCGCACCTGTTGTATAAGGGCAAACAGTTAGGGTGATCAGTGCATGGCGAGTGCTATGTGGCCATTAACTGTCAATACCGTCAATACCGCCACTGTCGTCAGTGTCTAGTCCTACAATACCGTCATTGTCAGTATCTAGTTCTACAATACCGTCAGTGTCAGTGTAAGGTCCCATTATACCGTCACTGTCAGTGTCTAGTCCTACAATACCGTCAGTGTCTAGTCCTACAATACTGTCAGTGTCAGTGTCAGGTTCTACAATACCGTCAGTGTCAGTGTCAAGTCCTACAATACCGTCACTGTCAGTGTCTAGTCCTACAATACTGTCAGTGTCAGTGTCAGGTTCTACAATACCGTCAGTGTCAGTGTCTAGTCCTACAATACCGTCACTGTCAGTGTCTAGTCCTACAATACCGTCACTGTCAGTGTCTAGTCCTACAATACCGTCAGTGTCAGTGTCTAGTCCTACAATACCGTCAGTGTCAGTGTCTAGTCCTACAATACCGTCACTGTCAGTGTCTAGTTCTACAATACCGTCAGTGTCAGTGTAAGGTCCCATTATACCGTCAGTGTCAGTATCTAGTTCTACAATACCGTCAGTGTCAGTGTCAGGTTCTACAATACCGTCATTGTCAGGTTCTACAATACCGTCACTGTTAGTATCTAGTTCTACAATACCGACAGTGTCAGTATCTAGTCATACAATACCGTCAGTGTCAGTGTCAGGTTTACAGTACCGTCATTGTCAGGTTCTACAATACCGTCACTGTTAGTATCTAGTTCTACAATACCGTCAGTGTCAGTGTCAGGTTCTACAATACCGTCATTGTCAGGTTCTACAATACCGTCACTGTTAGTATCTAGTTCTACAATACCGACAGTGTCAGTATCTAGTCATACAATACCGTCAGTGTCAGTGTCAGGTTCTACAATACCGTCATTGTCAGGTTCTACAATACCGTCACTGTTAGTATCTAGTTCTACAATATCGTCACTGTTAGTATCTAGTTCTACAATACCGTCAGTGTCAGTGTCAGGTTCTACAATACCGTCATTGTCAGGTTCTACAATACCGTCACTGTTAGTATCTAGTTCTACAATATCGTCACTGTCAGTATCTAGTCATACAATACCGTCACTCTCAGTATCTAGTCATACAATACCGTCAGTGTCAGTATCTAATTCTACAATACCGTCAGTGTCAGTATCTAGTCAAACAATACCGTCAGTGTCAGTATCTAGTTCTACAATACCGTCACTGTCAGTATCTAGTCCTACAATACCGTCAGTGTCAGTGTCAGGTCCTACAATACCGTCATTGTCAGGTTCTACAATACCGTCAATGTCAGTATCTAATCATACAATACCGTCACTGTTAGTATCTAGTTCTACAATACCGTCAGTGTCAGTGTCAGGTTGTACAATACCGTCATTGTCAGGTTCTACAATACCGTCACTGTTAGTATCTAGTTCTACAATATCGTCACTGTTAGTATCTAGTCATACAATACCGTCACTCTCAGTATCTAGTCATACAATACCGTCAGTGTCAGTATCTAGTTCTACAATACCGTCAGTGTCAGTATCTAGTCATACAATACCGTCAGTGTCAGTATCTAGTTCTACAATACCGTCACTGTCAGTATCTAGTCATATAATACCGTCAGTGTCAGTATCTAGTTCTACAATACCGTCAGTGTCAGTATCTAGTCATACAATAGAGTCACTGTTAGTATCTAGTCATACAATACCGTCAGTGTCAGTATCTAGTTCTACAATACCGTCAGTGTCAGTATCTAGTCATACAATACCGTCACTGTCAGTATCTAGTCATACAATACCGTCACTGTTAGTATCTAGTTCTACAATACCGTCAGTGTCAGTGTCAGGTCCTACAATACCGTCAGTGTCAGGTCCTACAATACCGTCACTGTTAGTATCTAGTTCTACAATACCGTCAGTGTCAGTGTCAGGTCCTACAATACCGTCACTGTCAGGTTCTACAATACCGTCACTGTTAGTATCTAGTTCTACAATACCGTCAGTGTCAGTTTCAGGTCCTACAATACCGCCACTGTTAGTATCTAGTTCTACAATACCGTCAGTGTCAGTATCTAGTCATACAATACCGTCACTGTTAGTATCTAGTCATACAATACCGTCAGTGTCAGGTCCTACAATACCGTCAGTGTCAGTGTCAGGTCCTACAATACCGTCATTGTCAGGTTCTACAATACCGTCACTGTTAGTATCTAGTTCTACAATACCGTCAGTGTCAGTTTCAGGTCCTACAATACCTCCACTGTAAGTATCTAGTTCTACAATACCGTCACTGTCAGTATCTAGTCATACAATAGAGTCACTGTTAGTATCTAGTCCTACAATACCGTCAGTGTCAGGTCCTACAATACCGTCAGTGTCACTGTCAGGTCCTACAATACCGTCACTGTTAGTATCTAGTTCTACAATACCGTCACTGTCAGTATCTAGTCATACAATACCGTCACTGTTAGTATCTAGTTCTACAATACCGTCAGTGTCAGTGTCAGGTCCTACAATACCGTCAGTGTGAGGTCCTACAATACCGTCACTGTTAGTATCTAGTTCTACAATACCGTCAGTGTCAGTGTCAGGTCCTACAATACCGTCATTGTCAGGTTCTACAATACCGTCACTGTTAGTATCTAGTTCTACAATACCGTCAGTGTCAGTATCTAGTCATACAATACCGTCACTGTTAGTATCTAGTACTACAATACCGTCAGTGTCAGGTCCTACAATACCGTCAGTGTCAGTGTCAGGTCCTACAATACCGTCACTGTTAGTATCTAGTTCTACAATACCGTCAGTGTCAGTGTCAGGTCCTACAATACCGTCATTGTCAGGTTCTACAATACCATCACTGTTAGTATCTAGTTCTACAATACCGTCAGTGTCAGTTTCAGGTCCTACAATACCGTCACTGTTAGTATCTAGTTCTACAATACCGTCAGTGTCAGTGTCAGGTCCTACAATACCGTCAGTGTCAGGTCCTACAATACCGTCACTGTTAGTATCTAGTTCTACAATACCTTCATTGTCAGTGTCAGGTCCTACAATACCGTCATTGTCAGGTTCTACAATACCGTCACTGTTAGTATCTAGTTCTACAATACCGTCAGTGTCAGTTTCAGGTCCTACTATACCGCCACTGTTAGTATCTAGTTCTACAATACCGTCAGTGTCAGTGTCAGGTCCTACAATACCGTCATTGTCAGGTTCTACAATACCGTCACTGTTAGTATCTAGTTCTACAATACCGTCAGTGTCAGTTTCAGGTCCTACAATACCGCCACTGTTAGTATCTAGTTCTACAATACTGTCACTGTCAGTATCTAGTCATACAATACCGTCACTGTTAGTATCTAGTTCTACAATACCGTCAGTGTCAGGTCCTACAATACCGTCAGTGTCACTGTCAGGTCATACAATACCGTCACTGTTAGTATCTAGTTCTACAATACCGTCAGTGTCAGTGTCAGGTCCTACAATACCGTCAGTGTCTGGTCCTACAATACCGTCACTGTCAGGTCCTACAATACCGTCATTGTCAGTGACCCAGATGTATGAAGAAGGAAACAGTTTTTAGGGATCCATTATAATACTATTATGTTTACTCTCATTCAACAATCATTAAAAAAATTGTCCTAAGACATTTATCCTGGACAAATATTCTCGTTAAACACCCCGTCTGTCAGACGAAAAGGGAAGAAAAAGTGAATAAAAGAATACAAGAAAGTCAAGAGGTTACCACTCTTACCCACTTTACTTACTTTTGATTCTAGCAATTACTGAAATAAATATACGGTCTTTGTGAGCAGATAAAAGACGGTTCTTGTCATGTTTCATTCCACTTTTGTGAAGTTTGTGGTCTGCGGACCCTTAAGCCATGTAATTAAAAATAAAACGCCAAACTTAAAAAAGTCTTGTACAAAAGAAAAGTATGTTGTTGCTCTCGGCACTGTATCAGCACCATCGGTTTGGGGCCTGGTTGATCAAAGATAGTTGAACAGCGATAGGCCGAGCTAATGTAACAAGCATGAAGGAATCTAGCCGTGCCTTGTGTCTAGACGGACACCACTGTTGACAACGATGCATAATTCACAGGATACGTCTAATGCTTTTAGTGCGGTATAGCTATCAGTTGTGTCTTGTTGACAAGGAGATGTGCAGACAATGCAGCGTGTCAGCTGGTCACCCACACGCGTGCGGAGACGTTGCTCAATCCCAACATAGATATGTCCACTTATACAGATGAACTGAGATTAGTTTACAAGTATACTTGACTGGCTTCGTGTGTCGAGATTTATACTATGTCTGAACACCATTCAACAATAGTCGGCTGAAGCAATTCTACGTCTAGTCATGTTCAAGTTACGGAGAAGAATACCTGACAGATGTAAATGTACGTAAGTGTCGTGTATCACAGATGTAAATGTACGTAAGTGTCGTGTATCACAGATGTAAATGTACGTATGTTTCGTGTATCACAGATGTAAATGTATGTAAGTGTCGTGTATCACAGATGTAAATGTACGTAAGTGTCGTGTATCACAGATGTAAATGTACGTAAGTGTCGTGTATCACAGATGTAAATGTACGTAAGTTTCGTGTCTCACAGATGTAAATGTACGTAAGTTTCGTGTATCACAGATGTAAATGTACGTAAGTGTCGTGTCTCACAGATGTAAATGTACGTAAGTTTCGTGTCTCACAGATGTAAATGTACGTAAGTTTCGTGTATCACAGATGTAAATGTACGTAAGTTTCGTGTCTCACAGATGTAAATGTACGTAAGTTTCGTGTCTCACAGATGTAAATGTACGTAAGTGTCGTGTATCACAGATGTAAATGTACGTAAGTTTCGTGTATCACAGATGTAAATGTACGTAAGTTTCGTGTATCACAGATGTAAATGTACGTAAGTGTCGTGTATCACAGATGTAAATGTACGTAAGTGTCGTGTATCACAGATGTAAATGTACGTAAGTTTCGTGTCTCACAGATGTAAATGTACGTAAGTTTCGTGTATCACAGATGTAAATGTACGTAAGTTTCGTGTATCACAGATGTAAATGTACGTAAGTTTCGTGTCTCACAGATGTAAATGTACGTAAGTTTCGTGTCTCACAGATGTAAATGTACGTAAGTGTCGTGTCTCACAGATGTAAATGTACGTAAGTTTCGTGTCTCACAGATGTAAATGTACGTAAGTTTCGTGTCTCACAGATGTAAATGTACGTAAGTGTCGTGTATCACAGATGTAAATGTACGTAAGTTTCGTGTATCACAGATGTAAATGTACGTAAGTTTCGTGTATCACAGATGTAAATGTACGTAAGTTTCGTGTATCACAGATGTAAATGTACGTAAGTGTCGTGTATCACAGATGTAAATGTACGTAAGTTTCGTGTATCACAGATGTAAATGTACGTAAGTTTCGTGTATCACAGATGTAAATGTACGTAAGTGTCGTGTATCACAGATGTAAATGTACGTAAGTTTCGTGTCTCACAGATGTAAATGTACGTAAGTGTCGTGTCTCACAGATGTAAATGTACGTAAGTTTCGTGTCTCACAGATGTAAATGTACGTAAGTGTCGTGTATCACAGATGTAAATGTACGTAAGTTTCGTGTCTCACAGATGTAAATGTACGTAAGTTTCGTGTCTCACAGATGTAAATGTACGTAAGTTTCGTGTATCACAGATGTAAATGTACGTAAGTGTCGTGTATCACAGATGTAAATGTACGTAAGTTTCGTGTCTCACAGATGTAAATGTTACCTAAGTTTCGTGTCTCACAGATGTAAATGTACGTAAGTTTCGTGTATCACAGATGTAAATGTACGTAAGTTTCGTGTCTCACAGATGTAAATGTACGTAAGTTTCGTGTCTCACAGATGTAAATGTACGTAAGTTTCGTGTATGGCTATCTCAGCTCAGATGAAGATCCCATAAGCTAGCCATTGAAAGTGGACGTTAGATAAGCAATGAAAGAAAGTATCTCTTTGTTTATCCGCCATTCAATGTTGAGAACGAATTGTACAGAAGGTAAAGTGCACAGTCCCTTAAAATCCAGCAGTACAATCTCAGTGAGTAACTATAGCCTTGTCTCATCATGTTAACAACGCGCGTTACTCGATTGTGGTGTTGAATATTTGCACATCCTTGTATTCAAGGCGCTGGTGTTCGGATCGTGGAAATGAAAGCGACAACCCCTTTTTCCAAATTCATACGCAATCTCTGCTGAAATAAGAGTCGATTGTACGATTCCGACAATATCCAATATCAAATAGTGATGATACCAGGTGTTCGCGAAAAGGTGAACGCATCCTGCACTACTAGTGGCACCAGTCACAAAAACACGCAAAAGGGGAACAGTGCCAACAATAGGTCGGTAGTTTGGGTTGGTTGGTTGGTTGGTTTGTTGTTTAACGCCGCACTCAGCAATATTCCAGCCTTATGATAATCGAGTCTGGACCAGACAATCCAGTGATTGATATCATGAGCATCGATCGGCGCAATTGGGATTGATGACATGCATCAACCAAGTCAGCGAGCCTGACCACCCGATCCCGTTAGTCGCCTTTTTACGACAAGCATAGTCGCCTTTTATGGCAAGCATGGGTTGCTGAAGACCTATTCTACCCCGGATCTTCACGGGTCGGTAGTTTGGGTGTATACACGTTTAACGTCGTACAGTAGTAGTAGTAGTAGTAGTAGTAGTAGTAGTAGTAGTAGTAGTAGTAGTAGTAGTAGTGGTGGTGGTTTATTTCAGTAAATCAGGCCACAGGCCCATTTTACAATATATATATTCAAGCATTCAAACATGTTTAACGTCGTACAAGTAGATATACACGAAGGCTGTCATGATAGGATCGCTCTGACAATGTCACGAGTATATAGGCTTGTTAGTCTACCGTTCAAAACCACCCCAGAAGTGCGCAACTAACATGAGAATTCTGGTGAGTGAGTTTACTTCTTCACCGCTTTTACACACTGTACCCATGTGGGAAATCGAACCCGGGCTTAGGCGCGATGAGCGAACGTTTTAACCACTTGGCTACCCCACCGCCCTCCGTACTCTTGAACATGAACGTGTCTAGTTCTGTAGCCTACATTTGTCCCCTGTAACGAATGTTCCTTCCAGCGCCTACATAGATCAATATTGCGATTGCCGTTGTCAAGGTGGTTTGTTGACCATACCCGTGACGACATTTGTATCTGCTGCCTGTGGATGAGGGCTGGTGGTGTGAAAATGCTTGAGGAGTCATAAAATCAAGCCTTTTGTCCAACATCAGACACACGGAATGCAGACATTTTTGTTGACAGGAGCCCGAATCAAACAGTAACGAATCTGTTTAGTGACCGAGCTGCGTTAATCAACAATAATGGTGAATATGTTTACAAATAAAGGTGAAGACAGTGCCAAGGTTTGTATTGACATAATTGTATCTGGACTGTAAAACACAACCAGGTCTGAACACGCACAACACTACAGTATCAGTATTTTCTCCCTTCAGTCCAAATAAAGCTTTATCTTTGTCTGTTTGTTTGTTGCTTAACGCCGCACTCAGAAATATTCCAGCTATATGACGGCGGTCTGTAAACAATCGAGTCTGGACAAGACAATCCAGTGATTGACAACATGAGTATCGATCCAAGAAATTGGGATACAATGACATGCATCAACCAAGTCATTGAGCCTGACAACCCGATCCCGTCAGTCGCCTCTTACGACAAGCATACCCCTTTATGGCAAGCATAGGTTGCTGAAGACCTATTCTAACCCGGATCTTCACGGGTCTCTTTGGGAGGACACTTCACTGCGGTCGCCGTGTACCAACTTTGGATATTTGGATATTACTTCAATACAACCTTGCTGGAACTCACATATGTTGGAAGACATGTGTGTTTATGTATGTGTGTGTGTGAAAGTCTTTGCGTGTATGTGTGGAAGTTTGTGTGTGTATGTGAATGTGTATATGGGACTATGCCGACACGAATGTCTTTGTGGGAATGTGTTTATAAGAATGTGCATAAGGGAATGTACTTATGAAAAGTTCATGAGGAAAGGGGAATGTGTTCCTGAGGAAATGTGTTCATGAGAATGTGTCTTAAAGAAATGTGTTTATGAGAACGTGTCAGAAGAAATGTGTTTATGAGAATGTGTCTGAAGAAATGTGTTTATGAGAATGTGTCGGAAGAAATGTGTTAATGAGAATGTGCATGATAAAATGTGTTATGAGAATGTGCATGAGAAGATGTGTTTATGAGATATGCATGAGAAGATGTGTTTATGAGAATGTGCATGAGAAAATGTATTTATGAGA